ATATTAAGCATAATTTTTTAAAACTTTTATTTTAGGTTTGGGGGTCCATGGTTTGTTATATAAGTAAACTGTGTGTCACCGGGGTTTGGTGTACAGATAATTTCGTCGCCTGGGTAGTAAGCATAGTACCTGATAAGTATTTTTTCGAATCCTCTCCGTCCTCCCACCCTCTACCCTCAAGCAGGCCCCAGTGTTAAATGCACAAAATCAACATTTTCTTTTAGAGTTATAGCAGTCTGCATGACTTGGTAGAATCAGTGCTTTGGATTGACAATTTAGCTCCTAAATCTGGCATTTGTTCTTTTGATTTGCAGTTCCTCCTTTTTCTTAACCTTTCTCTAAACACAATGAAACTTTTGGCTAGCATGGGCCATGAGATAAAATTTCTCAGTTCTTTCTTTTCTTATCAACTTAAATATTCTTTTTTTCTATTGATATGCTGGTTCTTCTGCCTGGACTAACCTTCCTAATTAGTAAGTGTTGGGCCTTGTCTCTATAAAGAAGTAAATAAATGAACTGACTAATCTTACAGGCCGTGTTAGTTCTGTGACTCTCCATTGCTTTACGTATTCCATGCCTCCTGACGGTTCTGCAAAAATGTCAACATTTCAGGGTGGAAGAAGTGTGCACTTCTGTTTTGAGATGTCCTACTTGCTGAGACATGTTGATTAACACTGTTTTGTTATTTGCTCCTTTGAAGCACATTAAAAAATTTGAGACTAAGAAGAACCAATTTTTAAAGCTTTATCATTTACAAAGCAACTTTTATATTTTTGTATTATTGAATACCACAACCATCTTGAGAAGCAGGTATTATTATTGATATCCCCTTTCACCCATAAGCATGGACAAGATATTCTTCCAAAAAACCAATTTAAGTTTGTTCAGCCCTCAAAGTTCTACGTGTTAGCTTGTAGCTACCACAAATGAATCATGCATGACAGGGTGATTTATCTGCCAGCATTATCTCCATTTTAGGTTTTTCTATACTCTTTCTGTACTGGACTAATTTCAATAAGGTTTCCAAGCCATGCATGGTCTCTGGGTATATCCTGTCACCTGTGAAACCTTTAGTTTAATGTTACTAGGCTCAATGAGACAATAAAAGTAAGTTCAAGAGAGAATAAATTCACTTAAATGAGTGCCCCCCTTTTTTGAAAAAAAAATTCTATTTTTAAGTACCCGTTTAAAGGCATCAGGCCATAGTTCTCATGCTTAAACCACGTGTTCATCTTCTGGACATATAACCGGTCAGAGACGAATGAAGGAAGGACATTCTGGAGAAAGGATGCAAAGCGGGTAACATACACCGTATCCCAAGGATAGCCATCATCCCAGACCCGACTCATGACCCAGGAACCACTTCTGGTACTGATAATGACCTGGTGGGGAAAGGCAATACAGATTTCAGTATCACTCTGTAAGAAATAAGCAAACATAACACACTTCTTTGGGCACTTCCATGCATTTTCCTCAATATCCAAGTAGGAACACTTTTAAAAGGTGGGTCTAAATAAATTGATTAGCAACCATAAAAAAGAATGAGTTCATGTCCTTTGCAGACACATAGATGAAGCTATAAAAACCATAATCCTCAGCAAACTAACACAGGAACAGAAAACCAAACACCGCATGTTCTTACTCATAAGTGGGAGTTGAACATGAGAACACATAGACACAGGGAGGGGAACAACACACACCGGGGCCTGTCGGGGGAGTGGGGGGCCAGGGGAGGGAGAGCGTTAAGACAAATACCTAATGCATGCAGGGCTTAAACTCTGGATGAAGGATTGATAGGCACAACAAACCACCATGGCATATGCA